TCAATGGAACCGCATAGAAGACCCAGAAATAAACCCACACACCTATGAATACTCGATTTTTGACAAAGAAACCAAAACCATTCAATGGAAAAAAGACAGCATCTTCAACAAATGGTGCTGGTCCAACTGGATGTCCACATGCAGAAAAATGAAAATAGATCTATATTTATCACCCTGCACAAAACTAAAGTCCAAGTGGATCAAAGACCTCAACATAAAACCAGATACTCTAAATCTGTTAGAAGAAAAAGTGGGGAACAGCCTAGAACTCATTGGCACAGGAGACAACTTCCTGAACAGAACACCAACAGCACAGGCTCTAAGAGCAACAATCAATAAATGGGACCTCATGAAACTGAAAACCTTCTGTAAAGCAAAGGACACTGTCATCAAAACAAAACGCCTGCCTACAGATTGGGAAAGAATCTTCACTAACCCTTTATCTGACAGAGGACTAATATCGAGTATATACAAAGAACTAAAGAAGCTGAAAAGCAGCAAACCAAGTAATCTAATTAAAAAATGGGGAACAGAGCTAAACAGAGAATTCTCGACAGAGGAATATCGAATGGCAGAGAAACACTTAAAGAAATGCTCATCCTCATTAGCCATCAGGGAAATGCAAATCAAAACGACCCTGAGATATCACCTTACACCCATCAGAATGGCCAAGATGAAAAACTCAAGGGACAATGCTGGAGAGGTTGTGGAGAAAGGGGAACCCTCCTCCACTGCTGGTGGGAATGTAAACTGACACAACCACTCTGGAAATCTATCTGGCGCTTTCTAAGACAATTAGGAATAGTGCTTCCTCAGGACCCAGCTATACCACTGCTAGGTATATACCCAAAGTTTGCTCAAGTACACAAAAGGGATATTTGCTCAACCATGTTTATAGCAGCATTATTTGTAATAGCCAGAACCTGGAAACAACCCAGATGTCCATCAACAGAGGAATGGGTACAGAAATTGTGGTATTTTTACACAATGGAATACTACTCAGCAATCAAAAAGGAGGAAACCATGAAATTTGCAGGCAAATGGTGGGATCTAGAAAAGATCATCCTGAGTGAAATATCCCAGAAGGAGAAAGACAAACACGGTATATACTCACTTATATAGACCTATAAGATATGATAAACATAATCAAATCTATACACCTAAAAAAGATAATCAAGAGAGCAGACATGGGGGAAGATTATCAATCCTCGTTTAGAAAGACAGATGGGATGTGCATTGAACATATGACAGGAGTCTACTGAGCGCATTTGAAAGACTCTAACTAGCAGTGTTTTCAAAGCAAAGACTCATGACCAAACCTTTGGCAGAGTACAGGGAATCATAAGAAAGAAGGGGAGTTAGTCTGATGAGGAAAGGATAGGAGCTTCACAAGGACCAAATATATCTGGGCACAGGGTCTTTTCTGAGACTGACATGCAACCAAGGACCATGTATGAATATAACCTAGAACCTCTGCTCAAATGTAGCCTGTGGTAGCTCAGTAACCAATTGGTTTCCCATAGTGAGGGGAACAAGGACTATTTCTAACAGGAACTCAATGACTGGCTCTTTGGCCTCCCCACCCCCCAAGGGAGGAGCAGTCCTGTTAGGTCACAGAGGAGAGCTTTGCAGCCAGTCCTGAAGATACCTGATAAAACAGGATCAGATGAATGGGGAGGAGGTCCCCCCTATTAGTGGACTTGGCAAGGGGCACGGTGGAGATGAGGGAGGGAGGGACTGGAAGGGAATGAGGGAGCAGGACATGGCTGGGATACAGAGTTAATAAAATGTAACTGATAAGAAAAAAATAAAATTCAAAATAAATAAATAAATAAATAATTTTTAAAGTTACTCTTGGAAGCCCTGCTCACCCTCAAGGCTCATCCTAGCTGGCCCTCCTGTGTACTTGCCCCAAGATCAAGACACCACTTCTGTCAGTGACTCCCAAAGTTTCTCAGCACATGGCAAGCTATGTGTGCACCGCTGATTACCCCACTGTTTGTCCCTTGAGTGCAAAGTCTGAACTCTTCATGAGCAGTCCTAGCAAGTTCTTTTAGGTGGTACAGTAACTTGTACTTAGAGCTGCTTACTAAGTTTCTAATGAACAAACAGGTATCTATGAAAAACTCTAGCTCCAAACTTCATCAGAAACCAACATCTGAAGCATCTCTAGTGGCCTCCCCCCTCAGGCTGTTCATTCTCTGCAGCATTCTCTGCACCCTGTGTATTCTATACTTACTCTAGAAGCCCCTGGCTGCAGGCTTCAGGTGATGCCTCCCCTTTACACTCTACCAGTACAGCTCCTCTGCTCTCAGCATTTCTTGATCCTGTCTTCCCCTCCCACAATCTGTCCTTGACCACCTCTCCTCTTTCTTTGTATTTTTTTCTTTTGGTTTTGGTTTTTGGAGAAAGTGTTTTTCTGACTTGCTTTGTATACCAGGCTGGCCTTGCACTCACAGAGATCTGCCTGCCTCTGCCTCCCTGAGTGCTGGGGTTACAGGCATGCACCACTGCACCCAGTACAAAAAAAAAATTTTTTTTGAGCTAAATCAGTAATAAGACCTTGTATAATTCCTTCAAGAAACTATAAATAATAAAGCAGCTTTTGCTTGTTTTTGTTTGTCTAGTTGGCTGCTTGATTTTTCTTTCTTAATTAAATTTTTAGTTTTTAATGTTAGTTACAGTTTATTAACTTTGTATCCCAGCTGTATCCCGCTCCCTCATTCCCTCTCAATCCCACCCTACCTCCCTCATCTTCTCCCTACCCCTTTCTAAGTCCACTAAAAGGGGAGGACTCCTCCCCTTTCATCTGACCATAGCTTATCAGTTATCTTCAGGCTTGGCTGCAAAGTGCTCCTCTGTGGCCTAGCAGGGCTGCTCCTACTTTTGGGGGCAGAAGGGGAGTCAAAGAGCCAGCCATTGAGTTCATGTCAGAAATAGTCCCTGTTCCCCTTACTAGGGTACCCACTTGGATACTGAGCTACCATGGGCTACATCCGAGCAAGGGTTCTAGGTTATATCTATACATGATCCTTGGTTGGAGATAGAGTCTCACAAAAGACCCCTGTGCCCAGATATATTTGGTCCTTGTGGAGCTCCTGTCCTCTCCAGGTCTTACTAATTCCCCCTTCTTTCATATGATTCCCTGTACTCTGCCAAAGGTTTGATAATGAGTCTCAGTATCTGCTTTGATATACTGCTAGGTAGAGACTTTCAGAGGCCCTCTGTGGTAGGCTCCTGTCCTGTTACCTGTTTTCTCCTACATCCAATGTCCATCCCATTTGTCTTTCTAAGTGAGGGTTGATCTTCTTACCTAGGGTCCTCTTTCTTGTTTATCTTCATTAGGTGTACAGATTTCAGTATGTTTATCCTATCTTATAGGTCTTGATTTGTTTTTTTTCAAGACATGGTTTCTCTGTGTATCCCTGCCTGTCCTGGAACTAAACCAGGCTGGCTCCAACCTCAGAGACACACCTGCCTCTTGCCTTCCAAGTGATGGAACTAAGGGTATACACTACCATGCCAACCTACAGCAGGTTTCTAAATTAAAACAAAATAGTTCTTTTCTATTATATAATTTTAATTGTCACTCTTAATATATAAGAACAGAAAATAATTCCAACATACAAAAGCCAGTTTTCTCAATGTTTTTCAATGCTTGAAAGCAAACTACAATCCATTCTCATCTCAGTTCATTTACTAAATAAGAAGTTAGCTGACAGCTTTCAGCAGCAGTGTTCATACCTGAAGTAACAGTCCACAAAAATAGTTGCCTCTCAGTGGCCCTTCCCCTGTGATGCTCAGACTGCCAAGTATTAAACAATCTCAGTCCTAAGACCCCACATAAACAGCATTCCTTTGGCGTCATAACTAAAACTGAAACAGCACAGTTACTAGCATATTCCTGGGCAAGGAAGACACACAAATTCACAAGGCATTCTATACTTTGTAAAGCTATGTGAAGGGACTGGTGATGGCTCAGTTAGTAAAGTTTTTGCCATGTAAACATGAGGACTTGAGTTCAAACCCCTAGCACTCATGTAAAAGCTGGCACAGGGGTGTATATCTGTAACTCCAGAGCTACAGAGGCAGAGACAACCAGATCCTTGGAGCTCACTTGTTAGCCAGCTGAGCTACGCTGATGAGATCTAGATTCATCGATGACCCTGTCTCAAAAAACACAGTGAAAGGGAACTGAGAAAGACACCTGATTTTGATCTCTGTCCTTTCCACGGACCTGAAAGGACATAAGTAAACACACACACCAAAAGGCTCATATGCCACATACAAAAAGAAGACAAGCTATGTGAAATAAAAACCAATAATCCACACATTTACAACTTCTCATGTCAGATTTGTTAAATAAATAAGCATAATTCATTCCATATATTGCAATAGGAATACAAGTAAAAAAAAAAAAAAAAAAAAACAGAAAAGTGTAAGATGCTTCAATTGTAACACTAGCTCACTCTGTCAAGTATTAACTACTTAAGTCTTTTCATTATATCCCAAAAGTTTATGGCTGGACACTCTGTATTCAAAGTCAGAGTCAGTCATCCCCTGCTATAAAGTCATGGCATGTCTTCAGATGTTCTCAAAAAGCTTCCCAGTGTGCTCCCTCCCAAGTCTTCCACATCCATACAAGATGAGCCATTCTCAGAACCGTGAGGGTCTATCTACTCCAGAGTATGTGATTTCATAATGTGTTACCACCCTGAAAATATTAGATGTGGAATAGCTTTTACATCAAGATGTAAGTGTGTCCTACCGGGCTCTGAAGTGAAGGAGGCCTCCTAGAAAGGCCTAACAGTTGTGATGTCAGCTTGTCAGTTCCACAAGGAACACTACAAGATAACTTACTGTGCAATATTATTAATATCAATAATGTGTCAACATCATTATTTAGTACTTCAGCCACTTGTTTATATCAACTTCTAGTTTAATGTGAGTGATATTTACTTCATCACTTAATAAATTTAATCCAAACTCAATTTACTTACCTTTTTAAGGCCTGCAAAACCTTCCGATTCCAGAAAGAAAAACGCAAAGGGCATCAACACAAATAAACAAAGGTTGGAAAATAAAGAAGCAAGATTCCACAGACCTACAAAGATGACAATAAGAAAAAATAAGAAAATCAGGTTAGATATTGGCACATCATTTCAAATTTCAATAAATTGTGATGTTCGTCAGGATCTATATTTTTAATAATAAAAATCAATTTGAAATGACTATCTAAACGTGGCTATTAGAAAATAATTACATACTTACTTTAAACATTCTTATCTGTAATTTGTATCTATTGGAGAAAGTCGATATAGAAACCATTTACTGGCTTGTAGGGGGAACAAGATGGCGGTGCCAGGAGAATACTGCGTCTGAGGAGCAGGACAACATTTTCCAACATTTACTGTACAGCAACCAAGAGACTTAACTCTGGACCCTAAAACAACAGCAATCATGTTTCCCAGGTGAGAGGAAACCCCCAAGGCACAGTCCACTCTCAGGTCACCCAGCCAGAACCAGGAAGAGATCCCAGGTCGCACAGGCACTAGGTCACCAGACCAGAGCCACAGACTTGTGTGTCCTGATCACCTTCCCAAGCTGATCGGTGGGCACAAAAACAGCAGAGACTGGGAGTCCCAGTCTCGAGAAAACCCCACAGGGAAGGAAGGAAATGGCACTGACTTGGGTCACCCAGTCTTTCCCTGGAAAGTCTCGAAGACCAGCGGGTACAAGATGCCATCACTAAACTGGGTTCCAGCCGCGAGCACAGACAGTTGCTGTGTGCCCAGCTCTCCAGCACAGACAAAGCTGTGCACCCCAGGGCACCAGAGACTGGGAGTCACTGTCGGGAGAAATCCTCACAGGGAATGAAGCAAAGGGGACTGACTTAGGCCACCCGGTATATCCCTGGAAAAGGTCCCGCAGACAGGCCCAACCCAGGGACCTGCTGTGCACAGATAGCCTGCTGTTACCAGGAGAGCAGTACCCACCCGCCACAGATTACTGCTTGGGTACTGGGGCACAGAGTCCCAACCTCAGACCTACAAAAGCCCGGAATCCCCGAGATCAACCCTCAGATACTGCTCCAAGGGGCAACCAGTTATCCCTAATAAAACTGACCAAACCATGGGACACACAGGTTACAGCAGCAGATCACTAAATTTTTCAGCAAGAAACCCAGAAGCATGGCAGCTGTCTTCAGGACGACTAACAAGGACCACAGATCTCTACACCTGAGGTGAGCAGCCACAACTCCTGAAAAACACCGGCCATCCAGTGACTATACCCAAAAAGCTGAGAAGGCTTCCTTCAGGAAAAACCATCTTCCTGCCAAGGGGATTCTCTCCACCAAAGGATTCCAGGAACCACCAGAAAGTAACTCCAAACACCTAAGATAGCCCAATGAGTAGAGGCCAGCGTAAAAGCTCAACCAACAAAACACAGAGCAATATGGCATCTCCAGAATCCAGTTATCCAGGGGCAAGTAGCCCTGGACACCCCAGCATAATTGAAATTCAAGATGACCTAAGATCTATGCTCATGAAGAGGATAACAGAGGAAACAAATAAAATGAGTAAAGACCTAGAGGAAGATAAACTCAAACAGATTATGGCCATCCATAAAGAAATAGAGGAAGATAAAAACAAACAGATTATGGCCATCCATAAAGAAATAGAGGAAGATATAAACAAACAAATTATGGCCATCTGTAAAGAAATACAGGAAGTTGCAACCAAACAGTTTATGGCCTTTAGAGAGGAAATGCTTAAATCACTGAAAGAAATAAAAGAAAAAGAGGATTTTTCAAACAAACAGCTGAAGGAATTGAAGGAAAAACAGGAAAATACAGTCAGACAGGTGAAGGAAATCAACAAAACGGCTCAAGATCTGAAGATAGAATTAGAAAAATTAAAGAAAACACAAATGGAGGAAATTGTGGAGAGAAGGAACTTAGGGAAGAAAACAGGAACTACAGAGGTTAGCATAACCAATAGACTACAAGAGATGGAAGAAAGAATGTCAGGTGTGGAAGATACAATGGAAGAAATAGATGTATCTGTCAAAGAAAATGTTAAATCTAAAAAATTCCTGACACAAACAGTCCAAGAAATTCAAGACAACATAAAAAGACAAAACCTAAGAATAATAGGAATAGAGGAAAAAGAAGATTCCCTGCTCCAAGGCCCAGAAAATATTTTCAACAAAATCAGTGAAGAAAATTTCCCCAACTTAAAGAGGAAGCCAATAAGAATACAAAAGGCCTACAGAACACCCAATAAATTACACCAGAAAAGAAAATCCTCCTGCCACATAATAATCAAAACAGTAAGTATACAGAACAAAGAAAAAATACTAAGAGCTTCAAGGGAAAAAGGCCAAGTAACATATAATGGCAAACTCATTAGAATCACACCTGACTTTTCAACAGAGACTATGAAAGCCAGAAGGGCCTAGATGGATATCATGCAGACCCTAAGAGAACATAGATGTCAGCCCAGGCTACTATACCCAGCAAAACTCTCAGTCCTCACAGATGGAGAAAACAAGATATTCAATGACAAAAACAAATTTCAACAATACCTACACACAAATCCAGCATTACAGAAGACACTAGAAAAGAAAATACAACCCAAGAAAACTAGCTACTTTCAAGAAAACACAGGAAATAATTAACCTCATTACAGTAAAACAAAAAGCAACCAAGCACACAACCTTATGACTACAGCCAACATCAAAATCAAAGGCTCTAACAGCCACTGGTCATTAATCTCTCTCAACATCAATGGACACAATTCTCCAAAAAAAAGACACAGACTAACAGAATGGATGTGTAAACAAGACCCAGCAATCTGTTGCATACAAGAAACACACCTAAGTCACCAAGATAGACATTACCTGAGGGTAAAGAGTTGGAAGACGGCTTTCCAAGCAAATGGACCCAAGAAGCAAGCAGGAGTAGCCATTCTAATATCTGATAAAATAGACTTTCAACCAAAATTAATCAAAAGAGATGGGGAAGGACACTTCATACTCATCAAGGGAAAATTCCACCAGAAAGACATCATAATCCTGAACATCTATGCCCCAAATTCAAGGGCACCCACATTTGTAAAAGAAGCATTGAAAAAACCACACATAGATCCCCACACATTAATAGTGGGAGACTTCAACACTCCACTCTCAACCCAAAGGACAGGTCAACAAAACAGAAATTAAACAAAGAAACAATGTCTCTGACAAAGGTCATGAATCAAATGGACCTAACAGACATTTATAGAACCTTACACCCAAACACAAAAGAATTTACCTTCTTCTCAGCACCTCATGGCACCTTCTCTAAAATAGACCATATAGTTGGTCACAAAGCGAGCCTCAACAGATACAAGAAGATTGAAATAATCCCTTGTATCCTGTCTGATCACCATGGAATAAAGCAAGACCTCAACAACAGAAATAGCAAAAAGCCTATACACACATGGAAACTGAACAATTTGCTACTAAATGGCAGCTGGGTCAGGGAAGAAATAAAGAAAGAAATTAAAGTCTTCCTAGAACTCAATGAAAATGAAGACACAACATACCCAAACTCGTGGGACACAATGAAAGCAGTGCTAAGAGGAAAGTTCATAGCGCTAAGTGCCTTCAAGAAGAAATTCGAGACAGCTCATTCAAGCAACTTAATGGCCCACTTAAAAACCCTAGAAAAAGAAGAAGCAGACACACCAAAAAGGAGTAGACGGCTGGAAATAATCAAACTCAGGGCTGAAATCAATCAATTAGAAACAAATAAAACAATTCAAAGAATCAATGAAACCAAGAGCTGGTTCTTTGAGAAAATCAACAAGACAGACAAACCCTTAGCCAAGCTAAAAAAAAAAAAAAAGGCAGAAAGACACCATCCAAATCAGCAAAATAAGAAATGAAAAGGGGGACATAACTACAGATACTGAGGAAATCCAAACAATCATTAGGACTTACTTCAAAAGTCTATATGCCACAAAATTTGAAAATCTAAATGAAAGGGACAATTTTCTTGATCGATTCGACTTACCAAATCTGAATCAGGACCAGGTAAATCAATTAAATAGTCCTATACCCCCAAGGAAATAGAAGCGGTCATTGAAAGTCTCCCATCCAAAAAAAGCCCAGGAGCAGATGGTTTCAGCGCAGAATTCTACCAGACCTTCAAAGAAGAGCCAACTTCAGTTCTCTTCAAACTATTCCACAAAATAGAAACAGAAGGAACATTACCAAACTCATTCTATGAAGCCACAGTCACCTTGGTACCTAAACCTCACAAAGACCCAACAAAGAAAGAGAATTTCAGGCCAATCTCCCTTATGAACACTGATGCAAAAATACTCAACAAAATACTTGCAAACCGAATACAAGAACACATCAAAGATATCCACTATGATGAGTAGGTTTCATCCCAGGTACAGGGGTGGTTCAATATATGGAAATCCATCAATATGATCCACCATATTTACAAACTGAAAGAGAAAAAACCCACATGATAATCTCCCTAGACGCTGAAAAAGCATTTGACAAAATCCAACATCCATTCATGTTTAAAGTATTAGAGAGATCAGGGATACAAGGCACATACTTAAACATAGCAAAGACAATATACAACAAGCCTATAGCTAACATCAAACTAAATGGAGAGAAACTTAAATCAATCCCACTGAAATCAGGGACAAGGCAAGGCTTCCTACTCTCTCCATATCTCTTCAACATAGTTCTGGAAGTCCTTGCTAGAGCAATAAGACAACTAAAGGAGATCAACGGGATACAAATTGGAAAGGAAGAAGTCAAAGTATCACTATTTGCAGATGATATGATAGTATACCTGAGTGACCCCAAAATTTCTACAGGGAACTCCTACAGCTGATAAACACCTTCAGCAAAGTGTCTGGATACAAAATTAACTCAAAAAAATCAGTAGCCCTCCTGTATACAAAACACAAAAGGTCTGAGAAAGAAATTAGGGAAACAACACCCTTCACAATAACCACAAGGACATAAAGTACCTTGGTGTAACCCTAACCAAGCAAGTCAAAGATTTGTATGAAAAAATAATTTCCAGTCTCTGAA